ATACCTCCAAACAGACTACTATATGCAATGCTAAGCAAAGTGTCAATATTCAAATAAGACAAGAAGCAGATTTGTTGCATAAAATATGTAAATATTATTAACAAAAAGCAGCATTTAATAGCACATGTCTAGATAGTTTCTGATCACCTATCTCTTCTGCCGCCTGGCCTCTGTCTCAGCTAAAACTTCTCAACAGGTACCGCACACATGTGCAGAGCGGAGGCCGAGCTCCTAAGCAGGCATCTGTGGCATTGCCCGAAGGAAACAACATACCCACCTGCTTTTGATTTGCGTCAAACTTAACAGCACAACTGATTTTACCCCTTATTTCTACTATCTGCATTTCTCGGGTGAAGCATCCCAAAGGTACAACTGTCATTTAAATATAGCATTAAAATATTGAGAGGATTAATATTCAGTGATGTTACAGTAGTTATGCTTGAAATTTCTACCAAAAGTCAAAAGTTTAAAGCTAATGAGAAAAATTCAAGTTTAGGAAAAAAGAAAGAAGACTTTGTTTTTTTCAGTAAAGCAATTGTTAAAACAGGCACTTGTCTGCAGTTTTTCAAAAAAAAAAACTTTCCTTTTTCCTTTTCAAAAGACTAAAACAAATGCTATAATTTGTGTGTTTGGATTTCAAACTGGAAAAAATTTCATACTTGCAACTGACCTAGTAGTACACACCAAATAATTTTTAAATTCAATTGATTTTACTAAAACATTAGCTCATCTATCTCCAAAGAAAAAGATAATTGAGTTAAGTTTTTATTTTAACTGAAGAGAAAACTGCATTGTTTTCTGTCATTTGTTTATTCTGGCTTCTCACTGACTTAAGGATAAAAAGCAGATATGTTGATTAATCAAGTTTTTATATCAGTAACATAGATCAGTATTTCACACATAGATATCAGCTAAACAATGTCTCCCAAAAATTTATAAATCAATGTAAGTTCTTAGTAATTAAATTCGTTGACTCTACAATAATAAATATGGTTCTTTATAAAAGTAGTATGTAAAATTTATACTTAAGAATATATTGATTAAAGGCAAAACAGCAAACATTTGTATCAAGCCAAGGTTCTAAAGAAAAACTAGAAAGAACAAAACATAAAAGGCTGCAATTGTTTCAAATACACCTAGCAATTCTGCTGATTTGGGGCCATTAAAACTGATTACTTAATTAGGCAATCATTCAAGGCATCCAAACACTCAGAGATAAATACAGGGAGTCATTAGCAAAGCCATCTTCACCTTGAGATGAAAATTATTAAAAAAAACGTTGCAGACACATATACTTTCAGGATCAGTTCCTATGCATAAACTAAGCAAAATTTAAGTTCCAAAAAGGTGACAACACAGAGTTCAGCACAAATGGTATTTATCTATAATCATACTGCACACTTATCTTTTCAGATGGCTAATATTTCAAAATACCTAAAAATGTCAAGCTAAAATACAGCATGTCGCTATAGGTTCTTGGAAGTACAACTGCCCACCCCACCCCCTGCCCTATCTTTGTACTATCTGAAAGTAATAGATAAAAATTCTGCTCTCTTGTACTTCTATCAGAATGCCACCTGCAAACAGGTTTTCAAAGTTTCTGCCTTATGTGAACAGAAAAAGAAAATTCTTTTTATTGAGAGATAATAATATTAGAACCCCAGTTGCAAGTTTTTAATACAACCGAGAGAAAAAAAAAAACTTCCAGTTTTTATTTATATTAGTGAAAATTTTAAGAATTTCACTGATTCACTAGTCAAGAAAAAAATCCCCTTTAACAATAAAAAAGATGGTTTTGAAATATGTCTGAAGAAGCCCTATAAATTGCCTTTTTAAGAGAAAAGAAAAGCAAGTCAACTCACACATACAGCTCCAAACAGAAGTCTTCCCTCTTCCAGGAAAACAACAATGAGACTTTATTACCCTGCTATGATTCTTTCATTTCAGACATGATTAATTAACAAGTATTACACTTCCCAAAACTCCCACCACACTCTTTGTGGTCTATCAGCCTGATTGTTGATGGACTCATATGAAACAGTGGTGAACAGCAGTAAAAGCTAAGTATCCAAAATCTCTGTTTCAAAGAAGGAACTCTCTCATATATTTTCTTCCCTAAATAAAGCAAGATGCTTTGAACTGCTACACACACACACACACACACACACACACACACACACACTCAGTGTTCTTAACACCACTGAAAATTTGAATAATAAACATAACATATTCTGTATTCACAAAATGTATGATAAGGTTTCTCTGTTACCTACCTAAATGTATAAGCAGAAATTCTGAGACTTGTAAGCTCCTGTATTTTATATGTGTAACCATCTACACGCACAATTAATAAACAGTAGACAATGTAAGCTTGTTTTGAGAAATGTTCTCTAAGAAAAAAAATTTTTCCACAAGCAAAAACTAATATGTTACAAATTTAGTGAAGATAGGAAACAGAAGTAAATGAGTAAAAGAGCAAGAAGGGAAGAGAGTAAAATGTGTGAATGAATGAAAACTCTGATTTTCTACAGATCGTTCTAAAACACTCAAGATAATTTTCCCTTTAAAACAATCTATTTTCAAAATGTCCCATGAAAACCAATAGCTAGTCTTAATTGAAATTCTAGAAATGAAATTTTAACGTCATCAATTTATAAAGGTTGGAGTAGTTTCCCCTTGAACCTTTCAACTGGTATGCACCCCCTTCACCCTCCCCAGAAAAAACTTCACACATAGTACAATACTAATAAATAGATGTTGCTGGTTTTAGGAACATTAATTTTAATCTATTCTGGTCAAAATAGCCTTGCTTTTTTTCTGTTATATTAAATTTAGGATCAAAACATCAAAGCAGTTTCTACCTCGGACCTAACTTTTAGAGGATCAATGTGACAAGGCAGTCCCTGATAGATGTTTCTCTTGATAAACGACTTGTTCAAAAGAGACATTGTAGCTTTCATTTCCTGACCACAACACACTTTTAATTTGCAACAGCAGAGCTGCTAGAATGTGAGCACTTGCCCACTTTCCAGCCTTTTAGGTTTGTAGCTCTGGTTCTTTTAGGCCCCATATCTGAGGCAAACAAAATATAAAAATAATCAGAGTAACAGAACCACTAAATAGCCACTGATGCCACTTGATACATATATACAAGCGTCTAATATATCTATGTTTCTCTCTACATAGAGAGAAACATATATATATACATATACATATACATATAAAATACACTTTTCTCCCCAGAATTTTAGCATATTTTAACAAGGCTCCTGGGTGCACACCCTTCACACATCATGCATCTAAACACAGGGAAATAAATTATGTGACTATTATTTAATAGTAAGTAGAAACTGGGGTGGGTGCAATTTACACACTTAAATCTGCTGTTAAATGTCATGAATTAAATGACTTACTATCCCACTGTGTTTTTTTAAACATATTATCGCAATGATTATTATTACTACTATCCAGAAATCACATTTAACTATCAATACGATGAACAGTCAAACCCTCCAATTTGTGCTCTCAGCACATTGTCCAAGCTCCGATTTAAAATTTATAAATGTAATATCCTCATCACAGGCAGCAGCCCAATCTGCTCTGAATATATATTACAGCTTTAACATCACAGAGGGAAATCGCCCATCTGGCAATCCCATTCGCTCCAACAGCTCCGGGGGAAAAAAAGCTGTGCTCTCTCCTCCTTAAAACATTTCTCAGGGCAAATTATGTGCATCTAAAATAAACAGTCTTCTTATTGATCGCTTCAAAGTCAACAAGTTCCAAATGCAAAATTCAATCAAATCCTGGGTATGGTATAATAGTGGTGTGTGTTTAGCTCAATAGTCACCAGAGTCCAACCAGAAGTATCTGTAGCGCAAAGGCTCCAGTAGTCAGTTCCTTTCCTTGTATTCACATTTGCGTTATGAGAGAGCAGTCAGGACGGCCACATTACAGACCCCTGGCAGCTTTGCCCCACTGCTATTTCTTTCTTTCATATTCTCCCTTTCTATCTCCATCTTTTAAGGAACGCATAGTGGTGAAGTAAATGTAGGCCCCCCCCTCCCCAAAACAAAACAAAACAGTTTAAAATGGACATGTTCTTTGGTTATGCAAAATAGTTTTAACATCTTTGTTGTTGTTCCCTCTTAGTGTTAATTGAATACCACAAAGTGTACACAGGGCATAGTCACAAGAGCTATTGAAAACCTCTCTCACTCCATTTATCTGACTTTTTTTTAAATAAAAAAATAAAAAGAAAGCAATTTAGAACAAAGTCAATTTCAGGGCCTGATTATTTAATTCTATCATAGGTTAAAAGTAAAAAGCGCTCACAGTTAGACAGACACGTGAATGGCAAAGAAAAAGATTAACTACCACAACTCCATTAAAAGCTTAAATAATCAAAATATATTTTCGTATTTTCATGTAAAAGATACACCTTCACTCACCCAAAAAAAAAAACCACACTCAGAAGAACTGATTACTCCATAAAGTGCAATCATCTAGCGAGCAGACAGTCAAACTGCATTAGTAGATTGAGGGAAAAAAATCATCCAGTTCTGTGTGTACATAAATATACATATATATGTACATATATATACTTTCATTAGTAAGCAGTCTTTCCCCACATCCCATCCTCTCCACTCTCCACCCCACCCCCTCCCCCAAAAGCCCCACACTGAGTTTAACTAATTTACATACCATTTGACTTCAGTGGTTATACAGTGCATTGCTAGTAACATGCAACTTTGAAATTACGGCTAAAACTAATAAAAGTGTACTCCAGGATTCTATTAATCAAAATCGAAATATACAAACAAGTAATAGCAAAAGCAAATAAGCATACTGATAGATTAATTGTACACTAAAAAAAGAAGAAAAAAGAAATTACATATCATGAACACTTTCCCAGGCAGAATCTTCAATGGTTTTATCATGCTACTTAATTTCTCTTTGCTACTTAGTTGCAAAGGAAGTAAATTCCAAAATTGACATACCATAAACACTGGTGCTACTGATCATTTCTTGCTGGCAGCACAAAAAGCTGAATTGGATTTCTCACAAGCAGGAATTCCAAAGGTTGCTTTTCATTAAAGCCACTTTTCCTCTCAGCTATCAAATGTCACTGCCTTGAAACGTGGGCCCTTTCGTCAGGTATTCATTTAACCTACATGCATATAATTAAGGGGGAAAGCAACATCAACAAAAAGGGGATCTCAGATCACAGGAGAAGAAAGAAAGGAAAAAAAGCACATGACCAAGAATACAAGTCCATGTCAATTTCACTCACTCCCATTGAAACTAACAAGAGCTCCGGGGACGACGGTAATAGGATCAGTGGATTGTATATACCATTAAATTATACATCTTTCTCTCCCGTTCCTTGCCAACAATACGCCCACCACGCTGTACCCCCTCCAAGACGATGTGCTTACATTTTTCTGCAACCGATCTTCTGACATTTTCACGTTATCCCAGCCACGAGACTGTAATTTAACCTCAACTTTCTGTGTGTGGAAGATTCTTATTTACACTTCTTATTTACTTAGAAGTTAGTTTCCGAAGAAAGTCTAGCCCCACCCTACGGCTCCGCTTTCTTATTTTTTTCTTTTTTCTTTTTGAAGTAAAAAAGATAGTAATAACTAAATCCAATCTAGCGGGAAACGAGCTTTTTGCAATCGCGAACTCTTAATCCGATACTATCGTTACAATGATTAGGCAGCAAAAATATGCATTATAATGTTTCAGGGATACTTTCTACCGAGAAATTGGACAGCAGGTTGGCGTATAGCATAGAAGCGAGTGGAAATTAAATTTAATGTTTGCGGCGCGACTCGAAGATCTCTTCTTTATTATTATTATTATCATTCTTACGGGTCTTGGACTTATTTCTATTCTCCCAAAATAAAACAAGCAAACACAAAAACAAATTTAAACAGATGGTAGGAAACTACGAAGCTCCTCTTACCTGGACGCGCCGAGCGAAAACCCGATAGGTTAGCGTAGCATCGATCCGCTGTGTTTGCTGATGAATGGAAGCTAGGGTTAAGTGAAGGTGCCTATGATTTGAAATCATTCCAAGTTTTTGAAGGGAAGACGGACTGCAGCCTCTGCCATGTTGGAATTTCAAACCCAAAACAGCTGCTTGGAAGGAGCCAGCATGCCAGAGGCTGGGCGCAGGCGCAGAGCGCCGCCGAGCCAAATTCAAATCACTTTCACACTAAGAGCCAAAGATCAGTTTTCAAAGGCGAGAGGGAGAAAAGAGACCGGGGCTGCCGAGAGGGAGAGGAGACGGGAGGCAGTGGCGAGAGGCGGGCAGTGGCGAGAGACGGGCAGCGGGAGGACCGGGAGGGAGAGGGAGAGGCGCACGGAGCCCGCGGAGCTGGAGGGGGAGAAAAGGAGGCGGGAGGCGAGCGGGCGAGCGAGCGAGAGACGCGCCAGAGATTCATGGGCAGGGAGGGCTCAATGGCCGCGCCGCGCTGGCCGGCCGGCCGCTCGGGTCATGTTACACGGCCGGGGCCGCGGCGGCCGCCCAGCCTCAGCGACGCGCGCGCGCGGCCCGGAGGGGGCCCCGGGGTCATGATGACGCGCGCGGGGGACCGGGCGCTCGCCCAGCCCCGCACTCTGGCCTGGGAGCAGGGGCTCCGGGGGAAAAGGGGGCCTTTCTTGCCCACGCGTGACCAGCCCGCCCGGACGCTCCCCGGCCCACCTGGGAGGGAGCGCGACGGAGCCGCGCCGGCCCGCGAGCCTCTCGACAGCTGTGGCCCGTCCGCCCTTCTCCAGCACCCACCCACCCACCCGCCCCCAGGACGCCGCGCACTGGACGAAATCTGGCCCGAGAGCCCGGGGACCTCAAGCCGCACGCTCCCCCGGGCCCCTTCCCAGCCCTCCGGCCCCCCCCCCGCCCCCGCCCCAGAAGAAGCCAGAAAATAATAAAAATGACTTTATCTGCCAAGAAGCAACTTCGGGGAGGGGTGGGGGAGGTAAACCCGAATTTACCCAGTTCTCCTTCCAGTGCATAAATAAAACCCTAAGAGTCTAGGTGTGCGGTTCCTGCGAATGCTCCTCGGCTCCCCTCCCTACCTCCCCCAGGCGGCTCTGCCAGGGCAAAGCAGCGCCTGGGGGGCCCCCGGTGCTGGCTGCTGGTGCGCCAGCTTCGACGTTAGGCTTCTGTTTTCCCAACCCCCTTCTGGAGAGCAATCTGGGGACCCAGGAGTGGGAAGAGACTAGGGGCTTTGTGGTCCTGGGAGCTAAGGAAGAATGAAATGTGCAGTTGAGTGTGTTGCTCGCATCCCAGGGAGCAATGCACTGCTGATTGTCTGTTGCTGAGATAGCCTTTTGTTCGGAACATAAGGTTTAAGAAACACACACACGTTTTCTGGGGTCTCTTGTTAGATGTAAATGTGCTGCATCCAGACGCTTACTATGCAGTCTAAGCTCAGTTGGTTTACTAATCACCCCTCCCCTCCCCCCCCCACCCCCAAACAACCAGGATCATTTGAATGGGAACCTCATTCAGACTTCTAGGCTGCTGAGTGTTGCCCTCAACCTATTTCATTCTAGACTAGCCAACCATCCAACTGAGATAATAAAGCAAACAATAACATTTGATCATGATGTCGACGAGATAATATGCTCCTGCAAAGTTCTTTAGGAATTGTAATGAGAAAGAGAGTGAGTGGGGTAATAATTTCCCTTCCTTTTCATTAAATACGATTTTAATAGATTAATGGCAAGTTTATACTTTGGCCTGGTAGACATCCAATCCTTTATGTTTCAATTGCTCCAAGAATGGTAGGGACACATGATATATTTGACCAGGAGCTCTTCAAGCTGAAAATGCTACCTTTGAAGGCTGAAACCAAGAACATACTTGTTGAGGGCTGACTCCCCTCATACAAGTGTTCATATTTTCAACCCTGCTTCTCTGCTCTGGATTTAGTAGACCACGTTTCAACTCTCCAAATGACAATCCAAGTTTTTCAAATATGCCAAGCATATACTTTGAAAATACTTTTGTTCTCCTTTTGTGATTTTCTCACCTTCTAAGGGATAGTTGTTGGGCAGATGCTTTGAGACAACACACTGAAAAGGATACATTATTTTAGTTAAATCTACGCAGATGACAGAATTTAAAAGACAAGAAAAAAGTGATATAAGATCTTGCCAAATATTTCGAAGAAATGAGATTTCTTTTCCGAATGGATTTGGCCTTTCTGTGAATTTTTTTTTAAGTCAGCCTTCAAAATGTAACAGAACTTTGAGAACCCTGCAACCTCTTCAGTTATATTTCACACCATAGCTTTGAAAATGATTTATGAAAAATTTCCCATTGGACTTCACCACAAGGAAAAAAGTGCACGAAAATACCTATGGATCACTGGTGGAGTGAATGCAGATTAATTAAAACAACAAAAAGAGTGAAGAACTCTTAATTGCAGTTTTTGCCCAATTGGAAATTGACTGTTAGACTGTTAGAAGTCCTCAGGACACACAACTGATACACTGTATAATTCAAGCAAAACTGCTCTTTCCCTTTTTTTTTTGTTTAAAAACGGTTCAAAATTCATCAACCTTTACCATTAAATTCCTTATACTGAATATGGTTTCTCATAATACTGAATAATTATATATACCTTTCTATATATGTATATATTTATATTTATAATTAAATTACTACCAAGTTAAAAATATGCTTTGATAATCACCTTAACCCAATTTCTTTTTCAGTAAATAAAACAAAGCAAAGGAAAAAAGCCCTAGTTTTTAAAGGAAGGAAAGAAAAGTATTGCTCATAAGAGTTAATAGACGAGTACTAATTTTTTTATTTTCTTGTATATTCATTTGAAACACACTTTATAAAATCTTTCATTATACAAAAATGAATAAATAACTTTGGAGTTTAAAATGAAAGAAAAGCCATTCAAAAGAACACTTACGTGTATTCACAGGATTTAAAACTGTTGAAAATTGTATATATCTTAGGAAGGAGAGCCTCAACTAATAGATTATATATTATGAGATTTCCATGACTAATAAACAGAGTAGTATGTCATTCCACTATTTCCAGCTTTTTTCCACTTTCCTTTGGTATAGGTATAGATAAAGTCTGCCTTTTTTCAATTGTTTACAAATGAAAAAAAAATTTTGTTTAATTAAAAAAATTTTTCATAATAGAAGCCAATGTTTGTGATTATTTTTATTTGCTTTAATAAAACTCAACTGAGGTAAAGTGCTTAAACAGCATTTTAAATATTTTGTCTGCATCTACAAAATAATGTTTTCTTAGGAAATGTTTTTGTCTATAACTGTATCTATATCATGCAATTGTGAAGTTTCTCTTTTGACACCATGAGAATAAGAAATTGACACTTTACAGAAAGGGGATTGGCTAGTCAGGAAAACCATTCATTTCAGAGAAAATTTGATTGGAGCAAATTTTTCCTACCACATTAATCACATTGCTTCTTTTTTTTCTTTTTATTTTGTTCTTTTGTTCTAATGTAGAGAGGATGAATCTAATGAATGTGTAACATACAAAGTATTCTATTAATGTTTTTCTTTAATAAAATCAAGAGAAAAATAAACACAATTTTATTTCCAATAGGAGTATATGTGTGTATATTCCTCACAAGCTAAAGAAGTAGGGAAAACGTCTATTACTATTTTCTGCTCTTTTTTTAAAGACATATATAAGCAATAACAACAAAAACCTGTGTAAAGAGTAAGGGGAAAAAACATGACAATATTTAATGTTGTTTTTTCAAAGATCATATACCTTTTTTTGAAAAGCACTTAGGCTAATTTGACCAGGTCAGACAAAGAGATGTACATTACCTGTGGGATTGGAGAAGAAAAGAAAGAGGTGAGGAGATTAAAGATGATCATAAAAAAAGCAAAGATGACAGACACTTTAAGGCAAAAACCAAAATATATGGGTTTTTTTCCCCTAAAATGCTAAGCAATTAATTTCATTTTAATTTTCAGTACTGTCTTTTACCTCAAACTCAATTATAAACTATATTAATAAAACATGAACTATATATTTGTCCAAAATATTATGTTTCAGAAATCATTTTAAGTCTGCTGATGAGACCAAGGCATTTCTTTTTTATATTTCTCACAAATTCTAAAGCAGGTCTTAAGGTAATTACTGGTAAAATATGTTTTAATGTTTCCCTTAAAGTCACAGCTTGTTTTAAGGATCATCACTTGTGCTTCTTTCAACTAAGACTACTGAGAAATCCTTATAACCAACTTAACCCACCCCTCCCAAAGAAAATGAGTGAAGTCTTTGACCTCATTTTAGTAAAATTACTCAATTTGTTAGAATTACACTTGAATACAGGTACTGTCAAATGGTATTAGAGTAGTCCATATATCTCTTCTGTGATGTAGCCTTACACTAGAGAAACAACTAGAAAATATGGAGACAGGTTTACTTAACATGTTTTCTTGACTATGCAAAAACTTTTTCTCCTGTTAACCTGAGAATTGTGTTTTCTCATTCACTCTTTAAATAATGACAGTATTCATGTATTTGCTGCAACCTCCGCCTGATTTTGCTTGATACTCACTTTCATTTAGAAAGTCCACACTGAGCATTCAAGTGGCTAAAATTATTGTGCTAAAATATTCAAAAGATTTAACAATTTAAGGATAAGGTCAAATAAGCATAGTTTAAAGTGTATGTTTTTGAGTCATATAGGAGTTCTGTGCAGATGAAATGGGTTTCAGAAAGGAGAGAGCAGTTTTTCTGACTTCTGTAGTGCAGTGTCTTTATGCTCCAATATACCAAATTGCTTGTAGTTTGCATGTGGTGGATGATTTGTCCTCTGTGTGCTTTGCTTTTCATTTTACTTTCTGGTTTCCCTCCCTGTCAAGGGGCTAGTTTCCTTAGGACTCTTAGCACTTATTTCTTCCAAGAAGACTTCTCAACCTTCAGGCAGCATTTCAGTGTTTTTCCTCTAGATCATGGGACTAATGTCTCTCTATTTTGCACTTCTGCATAATTTGAAAAGCATCTTTGTTAAGAGTTTGACTCTTCGCTTAGATTACAAGTTGTTTGAGGGAAGGTAACCATTGAAACATGTATTTTTGTTTTATTACCTCCAA